AGATGGGAACTGGATGAATTATTGAATGAAATATGAATTATTAAATAAAAATTTGAATTTTTTTAAACTCTTGGCAGAGGGTGAGGAAGAAAGGCTTATTTGTTTGCCTGAAACTGCCCTCACCTGTTGAAGCATGTAAAGATAGCATATACCACCATAAATGGCATTTACCTACCAAAGCCATTTCTTCCATTGTTATTCTCCAATTCACGATGCTCCCTTAATATAAAAAAATTCAGTAATCAGCACCAACCCATTCTTCCATGCTTTTCTTTTGTGCTAATGCCAGTTAATAGGGAAACTTGCCAAAGGGATAGAATTAAAAATCCAGAGTCCCATAGTATCTGTATGGCCCATTTAATGGGAAGGCTGGGATAATAGGAATAATCTCTATAGATTTGTGTTAAACAGGCAGTAAAACATATACCTTTGTAGCATGCCAGCATTTAACCAATCACAGAAACTATTTGTTGCCTCATATATTACAAGGCAATAGAGATTTAAGGGATAATGTTCATGGAGGCAGAGGATACGAAGCAATAAACAGCATTGGAGGTTGGTTAAATGCCAAGTGAAGCCAGGACTACAGCATCATAAACATTATTCCTACTATCTGACAAGATAAGGAGGTACAAGAAAACTGCCCTCAATCCCACCACAACTAGGGCTCTACTGCTATTCTTGGCCTTAGAAAGGAAAAACAAAGCCAGGACTACAGCATCATAAACATTATTCCTACTATATGACAAGATAAGGAGGTACAAGAAACTGCCCTCAATCCCACCACAACTAGGGCTCTATTGCTATTCTTGGCCTTAGAAAGGAAAAACAGGAGTTCCATGAGCAAATTACATTTCATGTCTCAGAAAGGTATGAACAGAACCCCAACTTGTACCTAAATGTCCTCTGGGAGAAGAAAAGCTCTAATAGTAGATATCCTCAGAGGGGAAAAAAAAGAGTAACAGCCCCTAAGGTCACACTGGACAGAGAAACAATCAAAAGATTTTTCCTTAAAAGGACAGCATTGATACAGAGTAGTTATTACAGAAACCTTTCTCAACGACTAATAATAGGATGATACTATACGTTAAGTAGTATCTCTTCATAGGAAATGTGTTCCTGTTTTTAAGGAAACAGACATTTTAAGTAATAAGCTTATATGACCAGCTTCTGCTCAGTGACTTGATTACGATAACCAGAAAGACTACTTAAATATGAATAATTTGTACTGTAATACAGTATCTATCTATGCTTGAGAGGAGGTATAGAAATATGGAATTGGTTGACTATTGAAAATAAAAACTGGACAAAAAGCATCCAAAAGGTATGTTATCTAACTGCATCCTCATGAAATAATATATCTAATTAAAGATTACTGACCAATACATAGTAATTTTTCCTACTTTATAATCCACCTTCAAGTAAAAGTGCCTCCTAAAGCATTAAAAAAAATCACAAGATTTGCTGGATTCAGCCACCAACTATATTTCTATTATTTAACACTCACATACAGGCAAAGCCATTTTATAGTCACAATGTTTTTAAAATAAAAGGTTGGCAAAAGTAGGTTTATAGTTGTGATATGCAAAACATAGAGGTTATTCTTGTATTATAATTTATTATTGTATTATTTTCCATACAAACAACTATAAATCTACTTTTGCCCCACCCTGTATATGCTATCTTTTAACCATCACATCAAAAACCCATACAACTCAAATTTAACCAGCCCTTTGTCACAGGGAATCTGGGGCACGATTGCCTTAACAACACTAACCCATTCTCTGGAGGCAGCTCTGTTAACTACCTCTGCTGCCACGTTCCACAGAGAGGTATTAGTAGGAATATTGCTTTCCCTGAATTCCTCTTCATGAAGGTGATGAGGCTCAAGAGAAAGAGAGTCTCAACAGAGAAAAGCCATATCACCTGTCTTTTCAGATAAGAATGCAGAGAACACAACCTTTAGCAGCCATCTCTAAAAAAAAGTGCAGGCAGCATATTTAGAACTCAGCTGTGTCACATCAGACTTACTGTTGGGAAGTGGATCATGAACAGAATCCAAAAATAACAGCCATTAAAGACCTAGCAACCAAAACATGTTTATGTATCCATTGAAAGCCTGGTGGTTTTGATTATATGGTGGAGAGTATAATCCACTAGTCTATTTTAGGTGAATTTTCCTTTCACCTTCCTAACTTAATATTAAAGTGTAAGATGTTTTCTGAGTTTGGGGGTACCTGGGGTAAAGCCTGGGCAGGCAACAGATATTAAAATAATGAAAAATTCCTATAGTTTTTGTTTGTTGGTTGGTTTTTAAGGATCAGTCTCTTGAATTATAATTTGCTTTCATTCTGTCTTCCTCTAAGTGGTTCTCAACCTGTGGGTCGCGACCCCTTTGGGGGTGGAACGACCCTTTCACAAGGGTCGCCTAAGACCATCCTGCATATCAGATATTTACATCATGATTCATAACAGTAGCAACATTACAGTTATGAAGTAGCAACGAAAATAATTTTATGGTTGGGTCACAACATGAGGAACTGTATTTAAAGGGCTAGAAGGTTGAGAACCACCAGTTAGAGTCTAACTGGTAAAAGCCACTGGTTTTTGAGACTTCTATAGCATTAAGTTCTAAACCATCCCTAACAAAAATTATCATGGTCCTTATTATCCTTCCTGGGACTTAGCCTTTTTATTATTTTACTATTTCTGGAATAAAGAATTTGAATCAATGACAGAGGTCTATAAATAGCTTAAAGGCCTCCAGGTGTCTCCAGAATGAAACCATTTTCAAGGTATATAAGGAAGTTGGATGACAGGTCAAGGGTAGTTCACTGTACCGAATTTATCTTCTCTGCTAGATTTTCACTATTTCATATAACAGTAAATCTTGCAGGGATCCCACTCTAGAGTTACTGGTATTTGTTACCAGATATTGGGAAAAACTTGGAAGAAGACTAAAATATAAGTAAAGATCTACAATTTCACCTGACCATAAAGTTTTAGCATGCAAGCAGGTAAAAAAAATCTGGCTACCTTCAAAGCCTTAAGTTGCAGCTTTCTATCCTTTTTCTATGAAACAAGTAACTTCCAAAAGAAGGCAGCAGTCTCCCGAAGTTCTGCACCCACTGAGGGGAAAAAGTCTTCAAGACCTACGCCAGAGTTTATCATTAATCCTAACAACCAAAATACCAACGAACAATTCAGAAATGGGAAGGAGAAGTAGGGGAAGAAAAAGGCTTATGGTAAACAACTCCACAATATAAGAAACCAAAGTGAAAAGTACCTACTGATTTCCTACCTCTATTCCAAAATGAAAAACAACAACAACAAAAAACACAACCCCACAAAAAAACAAACAAAAGCCCCTTCTCCCGGCTCTCAAATTTCAGTGAAAACTACTCTTTTCTGATGAGACAGCTTGAAGAAACATTATTTAGATCTCTCATCCTCAGAGAGCTTAAGAGATGCTTTTCCCATGTATTCCTTTATTTTATCATCCATTTTTATTTCTTTAAGTCCTTGTCTGGGTGGTTTTGGCACACTACATATAAGAGAGATTATAGGCGTAGAGTGGCTTAAATAATAAGTGAAGAAAAATAAATGTAAGTATGAGAAAAATATATATTTTCACCAAAAATGCAGGTTTTTAAAGTAAAGAAGAAAAGTGAAAAAGGTACCAGGTATCAATTATGGGAATCACATTAAATACTTTTATCAATAAATTCACACAAAATTTTGGAGGAATGTGGTTCAGATATGTACTCCAATACAGATGTCTGAAAAGTGAAACAAATTTACTCTATATTCCCAAGTGGCTTCTATTGTAAAAAAAAAAAAAAAAAAAAAAGTATAAACCACATGGAGAAAACATGCAGTCAACAATAAAGTTGAAAACTTTGACAAGGAAGGAAATACACCCTACAATGCTGAATACTTCAGAATACAATGCGTTTTCAGTCTTTTCTGAAAATTTCAGCATTTACTGGAATTTGAAATCATCCTCTGCCTATTCCTTGTCACCATCCCCATCTCATCCACCTCTCAAATTCCAATTCTTAGGAATCTCTGGAACTTAACTCTCTCTTCTTTTTGTCTAAGTATTTACAATGTTTAATAGAACTAGTCTGCAATCTCACACACCACCAGTAAGTGTCACTGGACAGTCACATGACATATTTCTAACTGAACAGAAATTCAACCCTTCAGGATCCATAAAATCAATTCATGAAGACAGAGAAAACTTTCTTTGTATTCCTTTATTCATCCTTTGTGGAACACAGAAATAGGGGAAGGTATAGGATGAAGAACCAAGAAAGTACAAAATGGGGGGAAAAGGCAGTTTCAAAAAATTACTTTATTAAAAAAGTATATGATGAAAAATATCTGACACATGATATACACATACACAAACAATAACATGGCAGCAGGGAAAATGGCTGAGAAGTCTTGCAGCTTATATATTGCTATGTGATCTCAGGTTCTATGTTGGATTTGTCTTTCTTAGATATCTGCCATAGCAGCTAACAATGATTTTCTGAATCAACAGTCAAAAGAAACTTTTTTTCATATTTAAAAAATCCAAATAGACTCTGGCAAATTGGGGTTAACAATGAATGGGTGCGTTCTCAGCTGCCTATCCAAACATATTAAGCTGACTTTCATATCCATGAACGTTGAGGAGAAGATATTTCAAAACTTGGTTTTGTATTTAGATAGATAGATAGGTTTAGAAAGGAGAGAGAGCAACGTGTATTCCTCAACACCGTGTTGGAAAACAAACACCAGTAGAATAACAATATGAAAGAGAGAAAGGCAGATTTCATTACAGTAGAGTGCTTACACTTCCTCATAACTTGGATTTACACACTGCAAATCCTCTGATCTGATTACCTCCAGTGATCACGTAAAATACCGGCTTTAAACTCTTTGCCTTAGTGATAAAACAGCCACTTTGATTCACAACGAGACATTCACAATAAAGTATATTGTAAACGTACCTGTCCACAGCCCGGGGCATTGCACACAAACGGTCTGTCGTCTCCCATATTTCATGTAGCAGAGCGGAGCTGAGGAGGAGGAGGTAGGGGGAAAAGTTATGTTAAATATGCTGGAGTTTTAAAAAAAAGTGCTTCAAAAATATCAACCCTAGAAACAGGTGTTCCAAGAATGCCATCTATCAAAGCTGTAAACACAGGCTACTTTGGGGAGACACATTAGACAGGTGGCATATGATCTACTTACTGTGCCTCAATTGAAACTTTTAATTAGAAAAATTTAGACCTAAATAGTCAAGGAATTTCAAACCTTTTGCTAGATTTTCCCTCTTTCTGCTACAGTATATAATACACTTCTCCAGTATGCTGAATTACAACCAGTGCAGTTCCCTATGTCAATAAATCCACTGAACGCTCGATGCGGAAGCCATATTTCTGAACTAGAGAAGACCAAAATTTGTCATTTAATTAATTAAGGGATTATAGGAGGGGTGCTCCATTTTACAGGGCTATAATCTGGCTCCCTGGTGGATAAACTAGGAGACTGTTGGCAAGGGCCGTTTATCCCAGATTATTGCCAAAGAAAACAAAGCACCCATCCTATTGGGCTACATGGGAAATAATTTTCATTAATAAAAAATAAAAATAAAAACCTTCTTCCCCACTGGGAGCCTCCTTCTCCCCCCACCAATAGTCTGTGGCAAATGGAGAAATATCGGTGCCCTTCCCCCTCTGATTCTATTTATGGCTAGGTTTTTAAAAGCAGCAATAAAACAAATGTCGACTCTTTGGGGGTTTACTGGGTGAATATGTTCCGGCTGTTTGTGCTGCTCTCGGTCAGAGTTCTTGGGCTGATCGGTTGCAGCCAACAGATGTGTGCTGCTGCAGGGGATAAAGAAATGGCACTAAAAGGCATCACCATCCATCCTCTCTATTTCTCTAAAGAATTTAACAGGGTTTATATTGTTGTTGTTTTTTAATTATTGAAGCTAACTCTTGCAATGCTGATAGAAATTCTTCGTCAAAGAACAATAATTCCAATATGAATGTGCTGGGGAAATTTTTCATCTCTCTCCTAGGAATAAAATTAGAAATACAAAAAATAGATAAAACGTACTTTGAAAGGGTGGGGAAAAAAGGAGGGGGGATATAAAAACAGTCTTTATAGGATAAACTCTTAAAGGACATTTTCAAACATCCTTCTATAAGAGAGAAAGATATATGAAGGAATATGAACAAAAGAAGGTGAAAGAGAAAGAACTAAAATTTGAATATGCCTTCAGAATTATAACCAAATTCCACATTTTTATCTTGGAGACAAACCAAAATGTCAGGTTAACCTCAGTCAGGCCTGCGTTAAAATAAAATATGAAAGTGCTAGACTAGATCTGGTAATCAGAATACCATGCTTAAAACTCAGAGGGTAGCTAGGTAACAAACAATGCTTCTTCAACTCTCGAAGACTCACTCTGGGGTTGGGAAACAGTATTTCTGGTAGTCTGATCAGTAATTCCACAACCAATCGGTGTTTAAAATTGTGGGGTGCCCGTAAAATAGAGAGGGCTTCTTAGTCACCTTTCAGTGTGACAGGAACAGGGTCTCACTATGAAGAAACTGGTGCTGCGGCATTATTGCTGTAATGGAAGAGAGCCTGCATGTACGTAGGTGTACACAGATTTATATCGCATTTAGCCAGGATAAATTGCTTCAATAAATTGTGTTCCTGAGAGGCCAGCTCAAGCTGATGATTGGGTACTGGGAAAATGAGAGCTTTATTTTTCTTCACACAGCCTCAGGACAAGGGGATTTTTCTGGTTTATCTGTTTGTTTTAAATACATGATGATTTTTTAGCACTTTCTGGAACTACAACATAGTACAAAAAATAAATACAACTAAATAAAAGTAAATAAATGCAAAGACCAAGGGCATTATGACTGAAAATTTAGAGTATTTATGAAAAGCAATTTATCTCCGGAAAAAATCCTACAACTGCTGTGCTGGAGATAATTTCCCTTCCTAATCCCAGAAACTGCTTTCTGAATATAATCACAAAATGAGATTTTATTTCAACAAGGTTCTCTAACATATTTTCAGCCAAGAAGTAAAAAACTACAAGGAATAGAGGAGATACAAGGACCAGACAAGATTCCTTATTTTTATCTTAGTTTTGTTATTTGAGGCTAAGTTTTTTTCAGTTTTCTACCTAGAGGAGGACAAGGGTCCTGGCTGAGGAGTGAGGCAATATTGGCATAGGAAGTAATGAAATAAATTCTGGAATGGTTTCCCCCACATCACAAAATTCAAAAATTTACCTGGTTTTGCACAATCACATTATAATATATGCCTTCCAAATTTTATTTAATTGAATCTTTACTAGGAAATAGAGATGAAAAATCATAACTTTTTAAAGCAATTTAAAGGGGAGCAAAAACAAGTTGGGGGGAGGGAAAGCATTAAAATGTAACAGAAGCATGCATTTTCATGACTTAAATATTCTAATCTGTCAGTCACTAACTAGGATTTCCGGCTTCCTTCCCTATTTGCTGGCTTTTGTTTGCCATTTTCACCAAAGGGAGATCACAATGGGAGGAAGGAGGCCCTCTTTCTTAAGTACCCACAATTATTCTTAAATCATTCTCTCAATCTCTTGCCCCTTTTCTTTTTCATCATTCTTGCTTTTCACTTTAAAATGATTTGTCTTTTAAAAATATTAAATATTTAGCAACAATAATGATGTCTCACCACTTTAAGAAATTTCTAGCTAACATTAAAAAATCTTTTTCCTGGCCCATGTAGATCAGTTCGATTCCCTGTCAAGGCACATGACCAGGTTGCAGGTTCAGTATGGTCAACCGATCGATGTTTCTCTCTCAAATTACTCTCACATCAATGTTTCTCTCTCTCCCTCTCTCTCTCAAATCAACAAAGAATTACTTTTTTGCCTTGGCTAGTGTGGCTCGGTTGGAACATCACCCTGTACACCAAAAGGTCAAGGGTTTGATTCCTAGTCAGAGCACATGCCTAGGCTGTAGGTTCCATTCCTAGTCGGGGCGTGAATAGGAGGCATCTGATTGATGTTTCTCTCTCTCTCTCTCTCCCCTTCCTTTCTCTCCAAAATCAGTAAAAGCATGTCTTCAGGTGAGGATTAAAAATTAGTGATAAAACGAATAAATAAAAACAAAATTTTTAAATAACAAAACAAAAATAATTTCTCCTCCATTCCCAGTCTGTTGCATCAATTGCTATATACAATGAATGCCACTGCTTATTTCTACTTCATACTTTCAAAAAGTCTCTAGCTATGAGGTCAAACTGATGCCCTCTCAAAAACAAAAAGCAACACATTTCTGTAGTATAAACCGACTGAGAGAAAAGGTGAATTCAATAATGATGTTGCCATTCACTAGAATTTAACTCAGTTCATTTGTAACTGCACTGTTTGACAAGTAGGTCATGTGTCTGGCCATGGCACTCACATCCATAGTATGCTTCTTGATCTTCAGGATGAAACTCAAGCATTTTATAGAACTAAGCAATAAATAGCAAGTAAAGGAAATATATAGGGTGTCCCTCCCAAAAATGTATATACACTTTAACAGCTGATAGCTCAATTTTGAAAATGAAATATATTTTAATAAACACTGCCTTTATAATTATTCAAAGTGTGTGCATTCATTTTTGGGGGAACATCCTATATTTAGAGATATCTCCAAAGGGAAGTGGAGAACTTAGAACAGGGAAAAAAAGGATGCATAAAAAGGCTCTCCTAGAGGCCAAGTCTGCCAAGGAAAAGGCTCAAGTACTCAAGAATCAGCAGAATGCATAAATGATAAAAATTAGTATTTGCTCAAAAGATAGAAAGTTATCTGAATGCTGGGAGGGAACTGAAGAATTTCCAAGATTTAGAAAATGATTTTTAATAACTGGGGTAATTTCGTAAAATCTATGTTAAATAGTTTTGTCACAGCCAGAAGTATAACCTAAAATAGTCAATGTACAAATTAAAAAATTATCTCTCTATTGTGCATATGTGTATCTCTCTCTCTCTACCTTTATATTTTTAAAATAAAATAATTAAATATGGAGCCCTAGCTGGTTTGGCTCAGTGGATACAGCATCCGCCTGAGGACTGAAGGGTCCCGGGTTCGATTCCAGTCAAGGGCATGTATCTGGGTTGCAGGCTCCTTCCCCGCGCAGGCCCTGCTCGGGCCCTGGTCAGGACTCGTACAGGAGGCAACCAATCGATGTGTTTCTCTCACATCAATATTTCTGTCTTTTCCTCTCTCTCCCATTCTCTCTAAAAATCAATGGGAAAATATCCTTGGGTGAGGATTAAAAAATAATAATAAAATGAATAAAAAATAAAATAAAAATGGAATCTGTCACTGAGGTCCAAAGAGTCAGTTCTCTGGACCTGGTTATAAATGTGATTATTTCTTTAGTAACCAACTAATGTTAATAAGATGGCCCAACTTTCAGTAAGGAATAAAAGCCATATACAAACACACCCAAGGGTCTGTTCTTAGGTTCCTAATAACAAAAAGCAGCTGTTGCTAGGTACAAAAAATGAGAAGGGCACATGTACCATAATATCAAAGATTCATGAAAATCTAGAAGGGGTTCAGACTAGCTATCACTCATTCATTCAGAAAACATTACTAAGGAACTACTAAGTGCAAGGGAAAGTGGACATAAAAATAAAAAGACAATAGACCTCTGCAAAAAAAAAAAAATCACTCATCTATGTCAAAGAAAACCAGAGCTGGATAGTAACGTGGTAAAACAGATTTTATTCAGGATTATTGCAATAGGGGAAAAGACATCTCAGTATAAGAACTGGGCTCAATTCCAAATACAGCATGGGCAAGTGGGAATGCATAGCCAAGCACCAGGGTGAGGGGTCGATGGATAGAAAATTACTAAGAAGAGAAGGGAGATTCTGGCTAAAATGACCTAACAGGATTCTTGCTGAAGACAGGCCAGAGTGATCAGACATCACCTGGTGGATGGTGGAGGATGAAGAACCTGATCAGATATGAAGGTGATCAGATATCAGGGTGGAGGAAGCAGT